AACCTCAGTGCCTCAGATCACCGGTTCTTCTTCCTCATATTCTAAATTCATTTGATGCTGAAGAGCACCGGAGAGTGAGACATAAGTTTTTTCAAATATTCCCCATGGATGCACTCACTTCCACCAGTTTTTGATCATTTTATTCATGTTTTCATAGAACAGATTAAGAAAGATCAATAAAATAAAAAGTCCAGTAACATTAAAAATAATGAAAAGCATCACTGCACATGGCTGAGGAAGATTGAACGTGAAAGTGGCGCTGTTCTTAATTCATGCATCAGAGGGTTAAGTTGCTCTGTGTGTGTGTGTGTGTGTGTGTGTGTGTGTGTGTGTGTGTGTGCGTGCGTGTGCTTGTGTGTGTGCTTGTGTGTGCGTGTGTTTTCTCACAGAAGAAGAACCCAACACCACTCCAGCAGACTCAGTGCTCCAATCCAGCAGCCTGAAGAGACATCATCATCAGCTTCAGCAGATGTGTGTGAACATGCATGAGCTGCTGGCCCCATGGATCCTGCTGACTGGCCACAGCAGTTGAACAAAATGGAAAGTAGAACTTTCTTTATGATGACACTTTGATATTTGAGTTTTGCTTTTGATCGCACAGTTTAATGCTGCTTTTGATTTTGCCCCCCCCCCCCCCCCCCCCAATGTCATTTGCACAACATTTTGAGTTGTTGGTTATTGTAATATTCTCAGGTTACTTATCTTTCAAGCTTACATTTATTCTTCAGGCTGTTGACTTTAAATAGTTGCTGTGTGAGTATTTAAAATAAAAATGAGTAACTAAGGAATAACTGTGGAGTTGCTCTTTCCAATGTGTGGTGGGTGGGTGGGTTTTGGTCGAGAGGCTTGCAGGCACGGGGGGGGCACACGGGCAGTCTCGCCTTGGGCACCAAATTACCTAGAGCCATCCCTGACTTCTCCTCCATGTTTGCTCGGAGATGTACGGAGCATCCTGTCCTCTCATTGGTCAGTGAATGAAACCTCCGTTGATTGGTCCTCGTCCGAGCGACAGCGATGAAAAGTTGAAAATGTTTCAACTTTCTGGGGTCGCGTCGCTGGGTCGCCTGTGCACGACACGTGCACGAGCGCAAAAGTTCACACGCACGTTTTTCGCGTTCCGCTTGGTAGGAGGGAGACCCGCGATTATCGCTTTGTCACGCATGTCTGATTGAAAATGAATGGAGGAGAGGCGATGTCGCCTCCCGTGTGTCGAGCCCATTAAAGACATTTTGGTCAAACAATGTTGCTCAACATTGTAATTAGGGCTGCAAGATATTAGGAAAACCTGCGATAACAGTGATTAATATTGCGATGATGATATCACTTGTGATAAATAAAAACTTAACTCGGGAACAAAAATAATCAAAAACAAAGAAATAAAAAAAGGCTGAAAAAAATCATTAAAATGAGAAAAGCAAAAGGTGTGAGGAAAGGGAAAAAGAACAAGAAAAGTTGATCAGTGGATCCCGGGAAAAGCGGAATCAGCAGAAAGAGAACAAAGCTAACTCAGGGGTTTGCTAACCATCAAAACGAAGTGCCGTCCTCCTCGGGGGCGGGACTTTAACCTATGAGAACCTACCAGATTGGCCAAATGGGTGAAGAGCTCTATTTGATTTGTTAAAAAAACACCACGCTTCTGTTTGATGGACAGAATGCATCATGTGCAGCAAACATTTGAGCTGACCCTTCATGGCGATATTTATCAGTTCTTTGCGATATGCATATTGCGCATGCTGATTGAATATTGCGATAACGATATATTTGTGATATATTGTGCAGCCCTAATTGTAATATTTCATATTACATTATGTGTTGGGAACAAGCTGCTAATGCAGAAAAAATTAGGGCTGATTGTAAAACTGATGTCAATGCTGTGGCGGCCATCTTCAAGTTGATCAGTTGTAGATGTTCATTTATTAATATTTATTAACAATCCATCTAGTGGTTATGGAGATATTTTACTTACTGTCCCCGATAACAGATGATTGGTTTAGTGGTGACGTTGGAATCATAAATCAGAGTATGTGTCAAGGCCGACTCTCAGCTGCTAACATGCCACATTTTAGCTCCGTAACTGTACAACTGATTAAGTCATAGTCATTTACAACTTTGCTAATAACAGCTAACTGTGGCAGCCAACCTGTTAGCTTTACCCAACGAGTCTATCCTGATAGTTTGAGATTTTATGTTTATTTATTTAGCAGATGCTTTTATCCAAAGGGACTTACAATTTATAACCTATAGGGCATGTTGTGATCTGTGGGGAAACAGGAGTACCCGGAGGAAACCCACGCATGCATGGGGAGAACACGCAACTCCATGCAGAAAGGCTGCAGCTGAGTTTCGAACCTGCAACCTTCGTGCTGCGAGGCAACAGTGTTAACCACTGCACCACCATGCAGCCGATTTTCCGATTGAGACAGTTTGCTAATGAACACAGCCATGGCCATCACTATTTTCTTTAATGGAGGAATGATAAAAACCTGTCACAGTACCTTTAATCAGATAAGGTCAGATCTAGTTCAAAAAGAGATGAGACTACTCGTGGAGTGAGATAAACCAGATCTTTCGTCTTCTGCTGTAAGAAACAGGTAAGAAATGTTGGTAAGACGTTACAATGAGGGTCCATTTATTAACGTCACTTAGAGCATTATTAAGCATTAATAAACTACTAAATAAAGCATTACCAACTGTTTATTATTGATGTTAATATTACATAATGCATTAGTAAGCAGACACCCCCCTGGCCCTTTGTGCTGACCTTAAGGACACAGATAACA